TTATTTTATTTTACGGTATTTTTATTGAATTATTTATTTCATTTTATTGTATTTAATTCAATTTAATTTAATTTAATTGTGTTTTAGATTATATTACGGCATGAAGCAAATCAACACTAAGTGTAAATTATGTATTTAACTTTGCTTTGTTTTCATTTTGCTGTAATCTATTTTATGTTATCGTTATTTTGAATTTATAATTCAATAATTGAATTTAATAAAAAGCTATAATAAAATAGATTTAAGGTGTTAATTTGCAGCTAGTTGCATGATCGGAAGAAAATAGGAGAAGAAAGATGACAAGGAGGGGAGGTGAAACAAAGGTCTAATGCTCAGATGTTAATTCTACAAGATTCTGTCGAATTCCTAGTGTATCCGAAATTTTACAATTATCGAATCAGGGTGTGGGCGTGGGTAGGTATGATTATGGGCATGGATGTGGATATGTGTGAGCAGATGATCAACACCCACACCCGACACGCAAATCCACACCCGCACATACCCATATGCACACCCACACCCACCAATATTCACACGAATACTCATGCCCACATTTCCATCGACATCCACATCGACTCCGTGCGCACTGTATATAATATTAAGTTTATTGGTTTATTGTTTTTTCCAGTTTACTTTATGTATTCCCTTATCTTCTTATCGCTTTTGTAGGTGACGTGTTGAGTATCTAGGGAAAAAATTGTTTGTCACGTATGTTTTATATGCTTTCTATCATATCTATCTGTGCTTGCAGGGAAAGAAACATCTCTATTTCGGAAAAATCACACTGGTCATATTAAATGACGTTACATCATATGCATTGGGCAATAAATGCATATAAATATAGAAGTACCGTCGAAAGACTTCAACAAAGTCTTCAAACCCAGACGTTATTATTTCATTCCATACTACCTCCTATCAAGATGCAGATAAATCCTGTCGTTTTAATGTGTTTTATTCTTTACACTTCGTATCCAATTCAGGTAGTAGCAGGTGGTGCAGCGGCAACCACTGCTGCAGTTGGTGTTCCATCAGGAAGTAAAATAAATACTTCGATTCGTAACTTAATGCAGACCGAGTCTTAAGTTAAACTTACATATAGACCCGGACCCGCAGCTCTCTAACCCACACCCGCCCGCCCATACCCACACCCCCTATTTAAAAACCTCATTTATATTGACGAGTCTTTACGGCTTACTCTTCCACTTTTCCTAGCAATTCAAAAAATTAGCTTTGAATGTGATTTGTCGATAATTTCTAGCTGTCTTTTATTATCTAAATGTAAATCAATTAAATTTTTCTTTTTATATATTCGAGATTCTTTAACCACGGTTGAAGACGAGGGTGATTAGCAGGCAATGACCGTTTTCCAATATCAACAGCTTGTTGATGAAATTGAAGTGCTTTTGAGTATTGACCCATCTTACCATACACAAAACCGACGTTACTGTAGGTTTGAGCCAAATCAGGATGATTTGAAGGAAGTATTTTTTGTTGAATTTCCAATGCTTTTTTGTGAGATGAAAGTGCTTCCGAATAGTCATTCATCTTTTCATATACGGAACCAATATGATTGTAAGAAAAAGCTAAGGTGAGATTATTTGAAGAATCTTCATTTCGTCGAATTTCAAGCGCTTTTTCATGAAATGAAAGAGCTTTTGAATAATCGTTCATTTTTTCATAAACAGTCCCAATGTTGCTGTATGTATATGCTAAGCCGGAATTATTTGAAGAAGGCATTTCATATTGAATGGCAAGTCCTTTTTCGTAATACAAAAGCGCTTTTGTGTATTTATTCATCTTTTCATATACTGAACCAATTTCATTAAAAGAAACAGCAAACGAAGAATGATTTGGAGGCATGACTTTTTGTTTAATTTCAAGCGATTTTTCATAACATATAATTGCTTCTTCATATTTTCTTTGACTTTTCTTACTCCATCCAAGTTGATGATAGAAATGTGTTTTCTCACGATCATTATATGATTGATCAAGGAGGAATTCGTATAATTCATTAGCCTTATCAAATTGACCAATTTTGATTAGTAATTTACCCAGTTTATCCCATCCAGTCGTTCCTTGAATCTCATTACGTATCCGTTGAGTAAGATTATTTAGTTGTGAATCGTTGTCATTAGTCTGTATTAAGTCTACCTGCCATAGACGATTGTCGTCGTTTATTGATATTACACTATCAATACGAAAAATGGTGTGCATCGAAAATAAAATTTCGTCTTCTGTCTTGTAGTAACTCACGTCATTGATAGAAGCAAAGGGAGTGGACTTTATTGAAGGATCAATTGTCATTACGAAGACAACACCCACTGTGGTTGGATTAGCAAGAGAACTACTAGCAAAACCACGGGCTACACTTAATTCTTTGCTTGTGGACAAAAAATTGTTAAAAGATATTAGTCCACCTTGCGTTTTCAGCATTTTGTCCAAATCTGTCTTGGGTAAGCCTTGACCTCGATAGATAGTAAATGGCTGCAATTGGTGGTACTCACTAAATTGTTCTGAGTGTAGTTGTACGATTTGCTGATGAAGATCATGAATAAAGAAACCCATTTTAATGATGGTATCAACTTCCATCAGGCGTAAAGCTCGATTAAGTACCGAGTAAAGGCAACATTCGTGAGTATACCACCAGATAGGCCAATGATTAGCATAGTCTCTTTCGAACTGCTTGATATTATTCAATTGAACAGCATTATCAACAAAGTTTTCGCCATAGTAATTGATAAAGTCTTCGATATGTTGTTGATTGAAGTCAATTGTCAATAAAATTTCTTTCAATATCTGTGTATACATAAATGTTGGATCCAATTGATCCAAATTCTCACCTAACTTCCCGTTTTGTGTTGATACAATGCTAATCGACACGGAATCTTGATCACATTGATGTGTATCTTGTTTAAGAGCTTGTTCAATGGACGAAATTGAAACAAAGATGTCCTTTACTTTTGGCCATTGTTGTGCCCATTGTTTCTGTTTTGATCCATTTTTACAAAAAATATAAATAGAATTGATTTGAGTTAAGCAGTGCAGAAGTGACACAATATTGTGATCGAATTCTCCTGAGATAATGATGAGGACTTTTTCATCTTTGATGTCAATAATAGTACTAATACATTCATCAACATCGGTAAATGTAATGACAGCATTAACAACTCGCTGTAATTCGATGATTGAATTACGAAACTCATTGTCATTGTCATCGTCAATGTCAGAATGTAACCATATAAGAATAAAGTTTTGAATGATACGAGAATTAAATGGTCGATGTGGCTTTGTGATAGTGTGTCCATCTATTGCTGTTGTAATTGAATCTTCGGAAGATTTTGCCTGTTTTTTAAGTTCTACTATGCCAATAAGATCGCAATTTTTTATTTTATGTCCCAAATCCATAATGTATTAGATGGATCACGTTTGAGGTAAAAAAATTGAAAAAGAAATGCTGATGAAAGAAAGGAAGAAAATTCTTTTGGTACAAAATGCACTCTCTTTTTCTTCGCAAGTAGTCTGTTCGTTGTTGTTCTTTTATTTTCTTTTGTTGTTGTTGAAAGACTTTATGTGTTTCTTATTCAATATTTTTGTTATTTTTGTCGACCATGCTATAAGCAAAAGAATTTCATGACAAAAACATCTTACTTTTCTTCATTTCTCTTTTCTTTAAAGAAACCTTCGAAGAGAGTGGACATTGATGTTAGAAAGAACAACATTGATATCTACACCCTCGAGAATCAAGATCATAACCAAATAGTAATCGAGAAACACTAAACACATGTTTGACATTCGGATAGTTAATAACTTGTTTTCTACATGCATGTTTTTCTTATGTCGATATATCTTGACCAAGAAAAAGGACAATACTTGTTGTGCTTGAATCGGTAAATGTTCTGAATTATTTAGGGGGAGGGAGGTATCAATTTAATTAAATTTCGTAATAAATCTCACATAAACTATAACGATATAAAGATTTCTTTATCTTAAGTCCATTAGACCTCAATAAAATTAGCCAATAATATTTATTTAACTACAAAAAACAATCACATGTTCAGGTTGAAATACAATAAATAAGAAAAATCTGTTGAATAATATAAGAAGTTTGTCGATCTTATATGATATTGATATCAAATTCCTTTTATTATTTACAAAGAAAATCTTAGAATAAATAATTTATTTTTCTACTAGATATTTAGTTCTTTGTTTGATAGATTTAAGAACTTTATTAATATAAATAACAGATTATCAAATTGACTAAATGAGACAGAACGTTATTTTATTTGTTATGAAACATTCAATAGGATTTTTCTATGTGTTGTGTTTAAATGACCTTAGAAGATTAATTTTTGTTGATATCTAATTATTTATTCAAATATTCACATAATAATTTTTATTTAGGAAAATTTCAAATGATACTCTTTATATTTTATACAATTTTATTCTTCAAGAAAAATCAACTATTTTTATCATTTCTAATTCTTTAAAAAAAAAATAAAAGTTTGTTACTCATTGAAATATAAAATTTAAAAAAAAGATAAAAGTAACAATATGTGACTCATCATGAATCACATACATGAATACATGAATGCGTGGCAAATACTGAATCATATTTACGTTTTTATATATAAAGAATTAAATATATAAGTCTTCTGTTGACAAACACATTCAATATAGAGAATAGGACATTTATTTTCTATAGTATCAGGTTTGAATACTTTGACCTCAACAGATTTACCAAAATATCTTTTAGTCTTGCTTATAGTCCCACTTTCTATATAACCTATGTACCATTATATCTTGATATCATAATGAAGGTTGGTAGACATATATTAATTAATACAATCCATGTTAAAACATCCTATGAAATGTAGTAATATGGTTGTTTTATTTTGTACATGACGTTTCTCAGTTTGCGACATCTTTACATTTCCATTTTTTATTCGTTCTTCTATATGCTGACTCATACAAGTCTATTTTTATAAAAAGAAAACAGAACACAGTAAGTGTTAACATATATAGTTATTGCACAAAGAATGGAAATATTGTCTATTTGTCATTTAACT